GTTCGAAATATGTGACCACGTGACCCCATCACGTGATCTAAACTGCGTTTAAAACATACAGTGATTTAATTTAGTCGTAAATTAATACCTTCATGTAGCGACCAGCTTTAAGTTTTTGTAGTTGTCAGAATCAGTAGTTAATATCTCTGGAAAATATATATTAGTGCTTTTCAGAATTCTTGGAAAATGACATTTTTTGGAAATTATTCGGAATTCTAAAGCCGGAATATAACAAGGAACTGTTGACACAACAACATGAAAGATGATAAATTAGACGTCATCCATCTTGAGACTTCATCGTGATCCGAACTTTGATTCATTTAACTTTTTATTGATAGGATTGTAGTTTTAAATCCTGTTATTATTGTTTTATTAGATTCACAAACCGCAAGTTCTTTTTCATAGTTTCACCTCGTTTTCTATGGAAATGATTTTGTTAAATTTTACAAAGATTGATGGCTTCACTTTTGTTACTTTCAACGAGCCTAGACACGTACCAAAAGTTACTGTATACTAATAATAATATTAGCATCAGCAGCAACATCAATAACATGGATGATCAATTATTATTTGAATTTTTTTAAAATCCACACCATCGCTGTTCTAGATTCTTCTTATAGAAAAAGGAAAAATAGAAAGAATTGTTCAAGTTGAAGGACATTGAACAGTTGCAAAATGTATTAAAAGCAATTTTAAGAGTTACGAAGTACTTGATTGTTTGAACATTAGTCTTGAAGAAACAAAAGTAAAGAAGGTGATAGTCTAATCAAAACGTAAATGGATAGAAGTAAGAAAACGAATATGTGTATAGTTTGGTAAAATACATTATATGATCAAATAACCAAATATGTTAGACAAGTCGGGGCAAATATACACTGATCATTTTAAAATTTGGAATGAGGTGAAATGTTGGTTCTATCATACACTAGTCAACAAGACAGTATAATTCAAATAAAACTAGATGCGATACTGGGAAGATTTCATGTTCTTAAATTGACAAACGATAAATCAAAATAATTAGAGTGATGTAACTTTTTGAAAAACAAGTACTGGATGATGTTGAAGTATTTACCTATCTTGAAACGAGGTGAGCAACAAAGGGCATTAGAGCCAGAATCTGCAATGCACGCCATCGCTTCTGAACCAGCAGGAAACTCTGATAAACACAACGATACGCATATCAATAACAATGTAAAGACAGTGTTTCCCTAGGCTCTAGATCATGCAAACAAACAAAGGCGCTGGACCAGAAGCTCCAAGTCTTCATCACGAAATCCTCAAGACTGATCCTACCCATCTGGTGGCCTGAGAAAGTGTCAAATGAAGAACTCTGGAAAAGGACAAAACAAGACCTGATCACTGTAACCATCGCTAGAAAGAAATGGCGATGGGTGGGCAACACTTGGAGAAAAGGCTGCAGTAGCATCGCGAAGCACACCCTCGAGTGTTATCCAGAAGGGAAGAGAAATAGAGGACGCCCTGCCAAGACACGTAGAGGAGAAGAACACGATGCCGTGCTAAAATCCGTGAAACTATTGTGGGGAGACTAACGTGGCACAGGACATGGACCGATGGAGCTTTGCGGTGGACGCCCTATGTGTCAACTAGGCATGAAGATTATTAAAGTAAAAGGATGTAACTCTTTCGGAAGCTCTAAAATGCCAAAAGAACACGAATAATGGTTTAAGTCCAGGAAGTGATGGATTCACTATTTAATTTTATACGACTGGTCTGGATAAGCTATAAATAATGGATTCAAAAAGAGTGTGGGCATATCAATAACCAAAGGAAAATAAATGTTGAGAATCTGAAACATTTAAGACCTATTAATATGCTATAAAATGGCCTCATCAGTTGTAGCTAGCAGAATAAAATTAATACATTAAAGTCAGAAAGTCTTTAAAAGGTATGTATATGGGAGGAGGTGGTCAGACTGATACATGATATATGCTTTACAGAAGAGAATTATGAGTGGTAAAATTTTACAGATGATTTTAACATAGGTTTTACTTTAGGTTTTATACATGAACTGCGTCCTTTCTTTAATTTTGGTGAACAAAATAAGTACTGGATATATATTCAATAGAAATGCAAAAGTATGTGAACTGATTTGAGCTGCAACCATTTTTATATTGAACGTGATTGTCGACAAGGTGATCCCCTCTCATTTGTTTTTATTTGAAGCAGAAATGTTATGAATTATGTTTCTGAACAATAATGATATTATAGGCATATTCGTAAATGGGTATGAAAATAAACTGGCTCGATATGCTAGTGACACATCGTACCTATTAGATGGATTAAGAATTCAGTAGAAACGTTAGACGCATTTGTATCAATGTCGGGACTAAATATTTATTTCAACAAAATATTCTATAAAATTTATAAAACTTGGGGCATTAAAGAATTCAAAGAAATTATGTACAGATCTCTAATTTGATTGGGTCTCAAATGTTTTGCCATCAGGAGCCGACTTATCTGTAAATACAGAAGACATTGTACACTTTTGAATACAAAATTCAAGATGTTCATAAGCTTAAGGGAATGGAATAAAAAAAATATATGTGAAAATTGTTATAAAAATCGATGGCCTTATATAAATGGACATTTATTCTTAATGTTACCAAATCTAACACCAAGCGTTCTAAACATTACCTAAAAAATCTTTCCTAATTTTTTTAGAATTGAGATTGGGAGTGAATTAAAAGATTTTCTGAAAATCTTTTTTTTTTATTTGGAGATTTAAATAAATCCTGCCAATCAAATTTTGTCAATCCAGGAAGTATTTAATAGCAAAATATATTTAGATTGGAATATATAAACAAAACCCAGAATTGACGAGCTCTACTTTGCTTTGATATTTCATTGTAAAATTTGAATTTATTAAGGGAACTGGAATATCCCCCCAAACCCCACCCACCCACAGGGTTATTTAATAAATGGAATCGTGTGCAAATATTATATTGGTATATAAAGATGGCTATAATAGTGGAGTAAGATGACCGCTGAATTAAATGTTGACTGAATACAACTCTTTCACTCACTCGTTAATGTATGCGGGCAGGGACACGTGTATGTGCAGAAGCATGCGGATATAGATAAATGTGTACATGACATTTTGTTTACACAAGTACGACTTAAAAATGCTTCACATTTCTTAGACTTGCCAATTATAAGAGGATTCAGGATGGGGTCAGATTACTAAGAATCAAACGAAAATACACGTTTGTTAATTGATGATAGAAAAAACGTATACCCAAATTCGACCGCATAAATTTCAAGACTGGATCTTTAACACAGTGATGCTAACAGAGTAAATCACAAATTGTAAAATGTATTATAAAACGAACAGTAAAGATAAGAAATTAAACTAATTGAGCATAAAAAGAAACACCGTTACGTATAATGTGCAATAACGGGCGTGACACATGCGCGTAAGCTGAGTTAATCAGTTTACATATCATATTATCGGGACTGCCGTACAAGGTTACAATACTCCGATTCACACAGTAACCTTCTGTATCTGGAAAAAATCTTACAGAACATAATACATTCTCTCGTCCCTCAAGTCAATAACGAAAATACAATCCTTCGCTTCAAATCTAACATTACATAACACAACAAATATCAGAATAATAATAGTGGGGGGAAACAAGACTGAAGCCCACCCCCACTTGTATGGATATGGCTAATTTAATTTGCTAGGACTTGTGCCCAATCCCACTGTATGCTAATATTGTAATATAATGTTTAAACAAACGTTATGTATTACCTGGGTAGGGTTATATCTTTCTTTTTTCTGATTTTGTAACGCTTGTATAGCTATTAAATGATCATCTGATGGAATGTCATTTGAAATATTTCACTCCTTGTCTCTGCAGCCATTTATAGATAGGATCCATCTCAAGCTGTTATTATTCCTGTACAATATAGTTTGTGATTAATTCTCATATTGTCAGGTCATAATAACAAGACAAGAAAATAGAATTTATAACAAGTCCAAATATGTTTTAATAATAATTCATCTAAAAAGCACATTCGTTAAGATATCTGAGATGAAAGAAAGACTACCAATTTATAACGTTCAGAAAAAATTGGAATACCCTGTTTCTTAAATGAATCGTGGGTGAATCAACGAATGTGTCACGTAGAGTTTCACTGGTGCAGTATTTGTGTGAAAAGATAATGCAGATCTCAAAAAATTGCAGAGGACTAGTCTGTATATACCATGCGATCTGCAATGTCTGACCTGATTGTGCACAGCAGCTATGGAAACTTTAGTCGATATTGAAAGCCCAAACGAATAAACGAAAAGCCACTTCGAAATATTATTTCGCAACAGTGTTTCACTGCCAGACAGAACTGAACAGTGTCGTACGTCGACTCCTGCAACGAATCGTGCAGACTGCAAGCGATCATGCTATCTTGTTGGTTGAATACCTTGCGTACAGTTCAGTCGGCTCGTGCAGCCGAGACCGTCGTCAATACCTATTCAGTTGGTGCAGTCTGGTTATCTCGAAACCCATTGAGTTCTCACACATAAACTGCATATAACGTCGCTGCACACATTTGACTGAAAGAGCAAAAGATAGTACATCAGGCTCCCTGTTAGCGCATTCCTCACAGCAGTCTGTGCATACTCACCGACAGAATCTAAACTGGTAAGGTTCTTTGTGAATATTCATCTGTGTGTGTGTGTGTGCGAGTGTCTGCCTGCCTGCTTGCCTGTGTGTGTTTGCGTGCGTGTATGTGTGTGTGTGAGAGAGAGAGAGAGAGAGGAGAAAGATTTGGATATATAACGTAGCTTTAACAATTTTTCAGTAATGTAGATATGTCTGCAGTATTACAGGTTATAGTGACGTCTAGCACTGGAGAATCCTGCAACAAACATGTCCCATCCAGTTAACGTTATCTTGACACCAGACCGACCAGTCCCAACACTAATATCTAAATGCTGAGCACTTTGTCAGGCAGTTCTTAGTATCGTTTTGATAAGTCTTTGGTATTTCTAGGCCGGGGTTCAAACCCGCGACCTCCCGCATCCTTAGTGGACGCTCCAACCACTAGGCCATCAGAGCGGTCAGCATATTCTGTAAATGGAACACAATCTGTTCGGTTCTTTCCTTCTGGCACGGACAGACTAGTTTATTACTTTCTTTCCAGCTCGATAATTTGCATTTCCATATTGTTTTATGATATTGTTTTTGTTATTATTATTACTATTATTACTATTAGTGTTGTTGTTGTTAATAATCTCGTATCTCATCTTTCAAGCAGTTCCATGAAGATGAGAGATTATCTGATCTTATTCGTGGTCACTTTGGTATCTGGAGTTCCAGTTGATCTAAAACCATTTGAAACTACTACACAAGTAAGATGCTTTGAAAACGGTCGATGGTATGGACCCGGAGAGAAAATAACCGATGGACAGACTGGAAACTTGTGCTACTGGTCGTTCTGCAACCAATCGGGAGAGATAATCCGCGTGCCCGACAGGAACTGCAACACAACAGTGACAGAAGTGACAACAACTCCATCACACTTTCAAACTAATAAGTCTGTGAGCTGTCTTTACAATGACAGTTACTATAGGCCTGGAGAGGTGATAAGACAAAGACAGGTGGGAGACTTGTGTTCCGCTTTGATTTGCGGCAACGTCGGAATTGTAATCGTCGCGGACAATTTCACGTGCCAAACATCATCACCATTGGGCTGTTTAAAGGATGGTCATTGGTATGCACCAGGAGAGAATATAACCGATGGACAGACTGGAAACTTGTGCTACTGGTCGTTCTGCAACCAATCGGGAGAGATAATCAGCGTGTCCGACAGGAACTGCAACACAACAGTGACAGAAGTGACAACAACTCCATCACACTTTCAAACTAAGTCTGTGAGCTGTCTTTACAATGACAGTTACTATAGGCCTGGAGAGGTGATAACACAAAGACAGGCGGGAGACTTGTGTTCCGCTTTGGTTTGCGGCAGCGTCGGAATTGTAATCGTCGCGGACAATTTCACGTGCCAAACATCATCACCATTGGGTTGTTTAAAGGATGGTCATTGGTATGCACCAGGAGAGAATATAACCGAGGGACAGACTGGAAACTTGTGCTACTGGTCGTTCTGCAACCAATCGGGAGAGATAATCCGCGTGCCCGACAGGAACTGCAACACAACAGTGACAGAAGTGACAACAACTCCATCACACTTTCAAACTAATAAGTCTGTGAGCTGTCGTTACAATGACAGTTACTATAGGCCTGGAGAGGTGATAATACAAAGACAGGCGGGAGACTTGTGTTCCGCTTTGGTTTGCGGCAGCGTCGGAATTGTAATCGTCGCGGACAATTTCACGTGCCAAACATCATCACCATTGGGTTGTTTAAAGGATGGTCATTGGTATGCACCAGGAGAGGTAATAAGCCATAATCAGACCGAAACCTATTGTTACAGGACGATTTGTGACCACTCCGGAAATGTAGTCCAAGTGGACGACTGGAAGTGCAAAACAATGGCACCAGCATCAACACCCGACGTGCACCCAACTGTCGGACAATGAGGACCATGAGGACATGCGCAATAAAACAATGAACATTTCCTTTAATTGTGACTGTTGATTACATCATCAAAAGGATTTTAAAATATTTTGCAGCCTCTGACCACACCTGTTGGAAACTTTATACAGCAAATAATGAAACGTGATATTGTGTAGAGATAATATATTATATTGCTTGCAATGTATATAGTTGGAATACAATTCCAAGCACACTGGGATTCTTAATAGGATGTGAACATTGCATAACAGGCTTCTACGAAGTCTTCTGTAGTCTTAAACAAATAATGCAAAAAATATCTGGCTAAATAAATCCGGACAATGAGCTATTGGTCTCATTGCAAACTACAAGTTTTCATTTTGTTTGTATTTTTTCATTTTTATAACTTACCATTTAATTAGAGCCATTTTGTAATAAGGTGAAATTAAGCAAAAAAATGTCCACAAACAAACGTCCGTACGTACATATGCACTCACGTATATGCGCACGTATATAGAAAATCATGCACGCGTACATACGCACGTACATGCATGCACACGTACATATGTACGTCCACGCATATTCACATACATGCGTGCATGCACACGTACAGAAATACGTACGCACATATATGTATGCACACGTACATACGCAAGTACATACATGCATGAATGTACACATGCGTGCATACAAACACACATACTTGTATGCATACGTACGTACATGCATACGCACATGGGTACATGCATGCACACGTACATACGCATGTGCATACATACATGCATGCACACATACATACGTACATATATGCATTAACACGTACATATGTACATATACACATGCATACATACATACGTACATACCTACGTACATGTATGCACACCTGTGTACGCACATGTATGCACACATGCGTGTGCACGTACATGCCTTCTTGCGCACGTACATGGTGAACTTACACAATTGACGTAAAGCATTCATACATCAACACAAATAAACATTTATAGATAGTAAATGTGGACAAAAGACGTAAGGCAGTGAAAGACATTTTAGAATACCAGATTAATTCACGAGCTTGGAAATTACATAGAATAAAACTAAGAGGAATTTAATTCGTGCATTCGCCTATAAATTACATAGTTATACGTGCGCACGGGAGTGCGTTGGAGGGTTAGCACCTTTGGTGGGACAATAGTTATGCCTTTTCAGGAGTAGCTAGTCTACCTTTAGTGCCCACATATACCCAGCTCTCTTGTGGTTCCAATTGGAACAGCTCAGCAGTCACATCACTGTAAAACTCGTCCAACTGGCTGGTTACACCAGTTAAGGGTAGTCGACGGGCCTTAAACCCGGAGTGAATTGTGACTTCCCTAACCAAGTTTGTGAAAACCGGATTCGGCGGACTGGGCGGAAGAAACCGATAACTATTTCGATGGGCAGAAAGGAGTTTCTCAGAAACGCGTTGTGGAGCCAATAGAACGTGACGAGGCACATATATTGTCCTGGTTCTCCACTGAATCCAATTATATCTCCAGCTTTCTTGTCATTGCCTTGCCATTGGATGTGTGTGTGAGAGAGAGTGGGGAAAGAGGGAGGGGAGAAAGGGGTAGGGAGAAGGGGATGGAGAGAGAGACCGACTCAACGCTTCCTATTTTAAACCAATTCATTGTGCAAGAAATTCTCCTAATCATCCTTCTCCCCAAAGTATTGTAGCTTTTGAGAGCGACGAAGTGGCATGTAAGGGTAAATTGGCAGCCGTATCCGCAAATCTGCACAAAGACGAGGAATTTTTTTCTCCATCATATAGCGTAAAAAGTAATTTTGATTGTTTACGTAGTCAGGAGGTGTTTCAGAAATGGATGTTTTCTGAATTTTTGAAAGATCAATTTTGGTATATACAAAGCTGGATGATTTTCTAATGTCAAAGGAAGGTAAAGCGTTTGGTTTATTTTCATATACGGTTTTGTATTTGTATTGAAAAACAGCCTAAAGAGTAAGGTTGAGAGAGTTTGATTTTAATTAAGAGAGCATACAGTGCACGAATTATTTCTCTGCGATATGATAAGTGGTCCGTTCGCTTCTGCGAGAATGCTTTCACATAGGGATGTCTTAATTGCTCCAAGAACATAGCTTATTCCTTGACGATGGATCGGATAAAACATCCTCTAATATGGCTTCCTAGCTGAACCATAAACCATAGTCTAGTTAAAACGAATAAATGTTCATACAAACTGAATGACTTTTTCTATAAGCACCTGTCTTTGTGCGCTACTACTTTAAGTCGATCTAGAGATTTTAAGCATTTAGCTTTCAAGTTCTTTTGGTGTGGAAAAAGTCAGTTTTCTGTCGAAGATAATACCTGAAAACATTATTTCCTCAACAACTGGAAACGGTTTTCCGAACATTCAGTTTAGGTTCATCATTATGTCTCCGTAACTAATAGAAATACATACATACCGTTTTTCATTTCGAGAATTTGAAACCCCGTAAGTGCTTTGCCAATTTTGAATCTTGTTGATAGTTTGCTGTAGTTGTCTTTCGATTATATGTATGTGCCTTTATCGATATCATGTTAGAAAATCGTCAACGTATAAGGAGCAATCCACGCCAGGAGCCAAACACTTTGTGATGCTATTGATTTTAATGTTGAAAGTGTTACAGATAAACTACTGCCCTGGGGTACACCCTTCTCTTGGTTATGCGTGTCTGAGATGGTATGGCCGACTCGTACATTTAATTCTCTGAAAGTTTGATTAGAAAGGGGGCAGACGGCCTTGAGACCCAGATCGTTCAAGTCACTTAGTATCCTGTACTTCCATGTCGTGTCATAATCCTTTACTAAATCTAAAGAAAATCGCTACTAAATGTTTCTTTTTGATAAAATCTTCGCAAATACATGTTTCCAGTCTAACCACATGATTATTAGTGATACGGCTATAGCTAAAGCCGATTTGGAAAGATATTAAATTGTCTGTTTCCAAGTACCATACAAGCTGAGAACTGCACATTTGTTTCATTGTTTGCACACACTACTTGTCAGTGCAATGGGTCAATAGTTAATAGCATCTGTGATATCTTTGCCTGGTTTGTGAACTGGTATTATTCTTGCTTCTTTCCAAATCTTAGGTACATTACAGTAATCCATAAATCATTGAAGATTTTTAAACGAGATGTTTATGTTGATTCTGTAAGTTGTTTGAAAATCTGGTAATGTATTTCGTCAGGCCAAGCGGGTGTATCATGGGCCTTGTCAACGCCTCAATGAGCTCCGATAGTGAGAATAGCTGGTTATAACTTTCCAAGTTGTTGGATGTGAATTTTAAATGTGACTTTTCTTTTTAATTTTTTAATCTTCGGAAATCTGAATAAATTATATGATGAATTTTTCGAGAAATGTCTGCAAGAATATTTGCTATTACACGTTTTGAACTAAAATTGTTATTGTTCAGTTTCAGATGTCGAAGAGAATTGTTTCCTCTTTCCACTTAATGTGTGCAGGTGTTCCAAAACTTTCTTAGTAAAGGAACGGGAGTGAAAAGAATACA